CAGACCAGACCCAGAGGAAGAGGCTGACATTAGAAGTATGAACCTCCAAGTAGACATGGAATGTGGGGACATCAGTGAGCTGGAGACAGCAGACACTATCAAACAGACGAAGGGCAACAGAGCGCCCGGGGAAGACCAGATCACTGCTGAAATGCTTAAGGCAGACCCCAAGGCAAGCGCACAAGTTCTGAAGGGTCTCTTCAACAGGGTCTGGGAAGAAGAGAGGGTACCGGAGGCCTGGAAGAAGGGCATCATTGTGAAGTTACCCAAAAAAGGTGATCTGTCTATCTGCGGGAATTGGAGAGGCATTAATCTGCTGTCTGTGCCGGGAAAGATTTTCTGTAGAGTCCTGCTACAGAGAATGCGAAAGGGCATTGAGAAAATCAGGGAAGAGCAGGCTGGCTTCAGGAGTGGAAGGTCGTGCACAGACCAGATCTTCGTCCTATGCACAATAGTGGAGCAGTCAATAGAGTGGAACTCTTCGCTCTACATTAACTTCATCGATTTTGAGAAGGCGTTTGATAGCATCTCTCACTCTGGAGGATTCTACAAGCATGCGGGTTCCCTGAGAAGGTCATTAACATCCTGAAGGACTTGTACGCTGAGAATCAATGCTGTGTGTGACATGAAGGACAGCAGAGTGACTGGTTTCATGTGAAGGCAGGGGTCAGAGCACTGGAATGGGTTATCTAGGGAAGTAGTGGAGTCTCCATCCCTAGAGGTGTTTAAGTCTCGGCTTGACAAAGCCCTGGCCGGGTTGATTTAATTGGGATTGGTCCTGCCTTGAGCAGGGGGCTGGACTTGATGACCTTCTGAGGTCTCTTCCAGCTCTGTGATTCTATGACATGCGTCCACCCTAAACATGACTTCTGCTAATAGCCTCATTTAATCTTGGGGCTGATTTCCTCAGTCGCCCTCATTTTCCGACAGAGCTCTGGGACATGTTCAACAGTTAACCTGAGCCTCCTCTCTCAATTTCAGCTCTGAATCAGTCACCACAGTTATGTTAATTTCCATAGCGCATGGACACTTACACGGTATTTTGGGATACTCGAGTATCTGGAAATAGCTATCCGTCTTCACAGTAAGCCCGTTGTTTTGGGCTCGCTACTCCACTGTCCCTGTAAACCTCATTCTAGGAGGAGTAAGGGACACTTCAGAATAGCACTGTATTTTGAAATTTGGTGCTGTGTAAAGAGTGCCAATTGATGAAATAAACTATTTTGAAATAGCATTGAAATATGATACGCAATTTAAGCTACACACATTGGTATCATATTTCAATGCTATTTCAAAATAGTTTCTTATTTCGAGTTACCATGCAGTGTAAACGCACCCTGAACGAGTGCTTCCTTCTAGACAATGCAAAAGAAATGAATGGGAATTTGAGGAAGGCACAGAGATTCATTATATTATAAAAATAAAGATTGATTGAATGACCTTCCTGCTTTTTAAATATGATTTCGTACTGTTGTGGCTCTTTTGCGTAATGAGCATTAATTTGACTTCTGATCAACTGAAGACCTAGGACAAATGTTTTAAATTATGTATTGCAAGGATGAATGCATGGATCCATAAACCCCAGACAGTGCAGTAGTCTCTCAGGGCCAATACCCATTGAAATTAACTGGACACTTTCCATGGACTTCAAATAGTGTCAAGTCAGTCCTTTGTGGAATTCACCGAATGCTTCCGTCTAGAGAATGCAAAAGAAATTAATGGGAGTTTGAGGAAGGTAGAGGGATTTATTATATTGTAATGGTACTGATTGATTGGAGAGGGGGGAGGGGATTACCTTTCCAGAATGATATAAATTCACTCCTTTGTTTCCTCTTCTTCCACAACAACAGTCTTGCTCTATCTATTAACATCACCGTTGGAACAACATTCTGAACAGGGCCAGGTCCTCTGCTGTGAAATCAGAGGGGAGGGGATCCTTGAAGAGGAAGGGTGGTTCATAAATAAGATTCAAAGCACAGTTAGCACTGTTTAAAAAAAAAAAAAAAACCACCTTCTCCATACTGACAATTGTATTTTCATGTATTTCATGTCTGCACGAGTGGTTTGCATTTAGGTTCAAATTTTTCATAAAGGAACATGATTTACAGACATTTGATTCTTGTAGTCCACTCTCAACATGAACCCATTTTGCTATTCATTCCAAAAATCTTACTGTTTAGTATCCGCATCTTTCCTATACTAGATTGAGCAGTCATTAATAGATCCAGCAATGGTTGCTGGGAGTGAAAAAAAAATGGAACATTCCAAAACAACTCTGCTCCTAAAATCCGTGTGATTTTCAAAGTCCAAAGATTTAACAACAACATTTCAAAAATGTGATGGGCCAAAATGATCTGCTTAACAAACATAATGCAAATGGACACAGACTGGTAACAGAGATTGGGCAAAAGTCATTACTAGAAGGTGACAACGCTCTGCCTTGTCTCAACCCCTTTTTAAAACACCAGCTAAGATTCTCTTAAACTAGCTGTCCATCCCTCTATCCTAGAAAAAAAATTTGTGCTGAGAAACTAGTGTCATGAAATTCACTAGTGTAAAAAAAAAAAATCTGTTGCTTTGGACTGTCAAGACAACTTCATAGATGTAGCATTTCCATCTGAAGCCACAAGCAATTGGCACTACTACTTCTGATTTAACTTCTGGGCAGTATAATTTTGCTGTTATAGTGGTCTAGAGCCTCCCAAATACCTCCATCGAAAATAATGGATTTTTCTGTCGTCTTTGTGCACAGTAAGACATATGTATACACAGAGTACAGTGGCAATGTTTTAGCACCAAAATCCTCTTCCTGGGAATGAAAATGCTGCTGTCATTACACCTGGCAAATATTGTAATTAACTCCTGTTTGTTCAGACAATGTTTCTACAATCATTTCCATCACATGGTCTTTGGGCGGGAGAAGCAAGTTCTCTGCAGAAGAAAGCTTCTCTGTGTTGCTCATTGGATCTTGCTGAAAAAAGAAAGATATACTCTTTAATTCTGCCTCCTCACCTGACTAGTTTTTGTATTTCATTTTAACTGTGGCATGCCTCCTTTTTCTTCCCAAACGGATATACGTACTTTCTCTGGCTTTGGTGCAAAATCTTTCTGACAAACATGTGCTATGATGCCCGCAGCCAGTGCATCACCTAAGACATTGGTCATTGTCCTAAGTCGATCTCTAGAAGAAAAAAGAGAAGTGAGAGCCAGCTAGACTTGATGAAGGTGCCAGTGGTAATCGATATTGGGACGATAAATCCCATATCCCCTGCAAGAACATAAGCAAAATAAATAACCTCTTGCATTTCCATATTACCTTTTATCCCAAAAGTGATCCCAAGGTATTTTAAAAATATAAACACACAGTATACTGAATTGCTTCACTCAGCAGTGCCCTTCAGCTGTTGCTGGACTAAAATGCATCTGCTATTCAAAAGAATATGGCCAGGTCACGGACCCTCTGTGTTTTTGATTTACCAAAATGTGAATTAAAAATAGTTACAAAATCTAAAAATGTATAGGTTTTATTATAATTTTACTTCCACATAGACTTGGGTAAAAATTCTCTTAAGTTAAAGCTCTTTAAAGTTAGGTCAATGTAAGACAGTCCATATAGACCT